TTTTTTATGTAAACGAGGCTCTAAAAGTTAGTTCAGAATTGTAGAAACCTTTCAACAGGTCGTTTGTAGGACCTGCTTCCAAGTTTTCCAAATTCTGGCAGCGGCGAATGTAGGGTTTATATTTATTTTAACTAACATTTATTTTAAGTTTAAACTATCTTTTCTGTCAAGCCTTACTTTCCCCTGGAACTGCCAATGCCAGAGTATGTAAATTTTTAGTAGAACGCGCAAGGATTCAAATTATCAGCGGAAGTATTCTGAGTTAAATAGAAAGGAAACGAGTTCGAAGGGTGCTTTTCTTACTTCACGAGCGCGGAGGTAGTTAGTCAAAAGTTGAAGAACCACGCGTTTCGGCCTGTGTGCTTGCCTAGGCAAATTGTTAATCTTTCAACGTAATATTCAGAGTTTGCTGAAGTATCAGCGGTAGTGTAAAACGCGGTGAGGTTAGTTACGTTTAGAGAGCCTCGTAGTTAGTCTCTTGTTATTATCTCTTTTCAGTTTCTTATTTTTATTTTACCGCCGGGTCGGCGTAGTTTGTGAGCGTCAAGAGCACGCATTTGTACTTTCTAAAGTTGAATAAAAAGGGACTTAAACCCTTCTCAAGACTCTGTCTAATTTCCAGTTTCAGCAGCCACCACTTTGTTGCGTGCAGGTTTGAGGCGCGCAACTTTACAAGCTAAATGCATAATTTTTTCTCTGAATGCTTTACTGACATTCAGTATTAAATACTTCCTATTTTGTTTCTGCTTCATAGTTTATCATGATGATGATTTCGCTAACTATAACACTGAATAAAGGGCAACAGAACAGGCCCAGACATAATTAGTAATTTAATTACAAGTAAACGCTCTTCTGCTTCGGTTAAATGCACTTATTAAAGAATCGCTTAAATTTATATAATTAACCTTTCCTTCTTTATTAAATTAGATTAGTTTACTTCTTATGCATTAATTTACATTTCTTTTATTTTACATTTTAATTAAATATTTATTCTGTGATTTTATAAAATTCAAGCATATTTCTTACCCAATAAGCTGCTCTCAAACCTCCACTGACAGCTACAACATCATCTTGTATCTTTTTCATGTTAATTTGCTAGAGATATGACACAATACATATATTAAATATTTTTATAAACAATAGCTTAAATGCAACGAGTAACTAGATAAACTAGTAGAAGATAAACTCATTTTCTAATACGTTTTACGCTGTTGCCCCTTCTCGTTAAATACTATTCCTTACGAAGACACCTTAAAATATTTCTTATAGTCTCAAAATCATATTCAGTGACTACTTCATTCTTTTTTTTTTTCATTTCTCAAAACACATGCAAACCGTTATTGGGCAAAAGAGAAAATAAAGATTCATAATCAAATAACCTAATCGCAGGCAAAGAACCAGAAAGATTGCGCAGGAGAGTGAGATTAAATATTCTCAACAAATGGCTAACGTAAGAGCCATGTATAAGTATGGAGTTTCTAACAGAAATATTCAAACTTCTATAGCAATTCATTAAAAATATCCTTCCCTGGCTAACTTCTGAAATTTTGCACTATTAGTTGCAGCTTTAAGTTTGATTTAGACTTTGACTGAAGCTATACGCAGATTCATTTTTAAATCCTTGAAAAAGGATTTAAAAATGGGAATTATCACAGTTTTTGTACCGCTGTGTAGTATACAGTGGTCCGAAAACTGTGAATATTCACACTATGTCACTGCTAAGCAATCATTTGTAAATAATAAATTTATAAATTTAGGAAATTATTGCTTCTATTAGCAACTTAAAACATTCTTTGCCTAATAGTATTAAGTACTAATAAGCCAACAACATTCTTTTTACAGAGCTTCCAGATGTTAGTGCTTTGTACATGGCAATTCGAAAATTTTAACACTTCGACATGCTTAAAATGTGTAGGTGACTCTCTTACGCGTGAGCCTCAGAAAGAAGATGAGTAAATTTTTCAGATATTTGTAATTTTGTTCAGCAAATAATTAGGCATAATCCAAAAAAGTATAGCGCATTTAGCTTACTTAAATACTAGGGTATATGTGAATAACTGACAGAATAGCGTCCTTTGCACTGAACAGGGAAATTCGGGACACAAAGTTCTAAAACATCGTGCTACAAAATATCGTCGTTGAAAATAAAGAGGTTCAAAAACTTCGCAGTTTAAAAACATCGTCGTCGAAAATATCGCGGTAAAAAATAAAGTATCGACAAATCATCGCAGGACGATAACATCGCAGACCTTCTTTTTTCAGGCTTTAATAATTGTAAATGGATATTCCCATAATGAGTTGTGAGCGCAAGATGGAAAGAAGGATAATTTTTGCTTTCATATTTTTTTTATTAACTAATAAAGATTTGCTGAAAATGTAAAATGGAAACTTAAACATAGAAAATTAATGCAACATACAGCACTTAAAAGAATTTTAAACTGACATAGTTAACTAACAAACATCATTAATAAATTATTTTTTATAAAGTTTTACTGGTAATTTTTCATAAAAAGTATGATCTAAAAATGACTTGTTTAACTTCGTGTTTTGTTTTTTATAAATTTATTAGTTAATAAAAAATATGATAGCAAGAATTATCCTTCTTTCCATCTTGCGCTCACAAATCATTATGCAAATATCCATTTACAAATATTAAAGCCTGAAAATACATGTCTGCGATGTTATCGTCACATTGTAGGTACTTTATTTTTTAGCACGATATTTTCTACGACGATGTTTTTAAACTGCCAAGTTTTTGAACCGCTTTATTTTCGACGACGATATTTGTACCACGATGTTTTCTCTTTGCTTTATTTTCTCCCACGATGTTTTGTGCCGCGATGTTTTTGTTGTTATTTTATACCTCCGAATGTCACGAGATGCAATGATTAATGTGATTTCCTCTTTCTTTATTAGCTTGTGTTCGTCTCTCAGAGCGTTAAATGATGCCCTCTATGTTTTGGGGCAATCTGCCTACTTTTAGCTCTGAACTTCAGTTATATATTAGTCGTAGTAATGTTCATCGCAGTATTATGCTTGCTTAATTTTCCATTCTCCTAATAAACGCCGCTGTGATGAAGGTATAATTTAATTTATTTATATAACAGTTTTCGCCGCGACGTTTTCGTCCGCGATGTTTTCGGCGGCTCAGACAGCACTGCAGCTTGCTTTGACGGGCACCCGCGAATAAGTCGCTATCCCAAGATAACATAGATGTCGATTTTCGAACGCATAGAGGTTTCGAAAGTACAGAAAAGTTCGAACTTAAATTGTGCATAAAAAGAAGACACATATTTCTGTGAAGAATCCAAAAACAACTACTCCTACCGCGTGCAATAACCATTGAGGTCGAAGGTAAGTGGGCAAACAAAAACCGTGATATAAAAAAATGCCAATAATACCAGTAACTGTACAATTACAATTAATATGCGGAACAGGTGGAAACAGAAAAAGGTGAAGAGGGATTAACTAGTGAGATACATAATGAGTACAGTAGATATAATAACAAATTAAGGTGTATTGTTGTCAAGCTGGTGTATCTCCTCCAATATGAGGTACAGGATTTGAATTCTGTTAAGTATACTGCCACACTTCCTGAGTTCATCCATTTTGTTTTTGTAAATTGAAATAATTTTACTAATATTATGGCCAAACATATTTTCAACTTCTCTCATAATATTTAATAACTCAAAAATATTGGATTGCGTACAATTAACTGAGGCAGAGAGTATCATATAGAGTTATAATTATTATTGGGTATTGCATTATTACTGCTGTGTGGAAGATCGGCAGCAGCTGTTTGACTATTGGTAGTTTCAGAGGCGTGAGTGGGCTTAGGTTGCAGTGCCTGTGCATAACTGGTGCCTATCTTAACTGCGGATGTTTTTTGACTTTTCTTAGTCTTAGGAAACTTAGGGCAACCCCTATAGGAAGCCACGTGGGGGCCTTGGCAGTTTACACAAATAGGTTTATCTGTGTGACTTTTGTCACAATTGCCAGTTATATGAAACCCTGCACACTTCACACAACGGGTTGCAAAGTGGCAGTTCTCGGAAGAATGATGCCATTTCTGGCAATCGTCACACTGAGGCACTTGTGTTTTAGACTCATATTTTTCAATAGAGATATGAAAATACATAAGATATTTTTCAAGATAAATATTTTCGATCTTGTCGTTGGGTATTAATTGTGCCTGAAATAGAGGCATGGGAGCCTTAGTCTTATACTTAGTTAACTTGACAACATTATGCGAAGGGATTCTGAGATAATATCAGTGTTGGAATCTGAGGGCAGACCTCGTATTAAAACTTTAGCCGACCTATTGTGCCTAGGCTTAATTAGATGGTATTCAATGGATTTTTCATCAAAATAACTGCTAAGAACTCGATGGTCATCTAGTGTAGTAGGTTCAATTTTTAGAAAATCACCGGTAGTGCGGCCAAAGAACTTGTTTGCTGGGAATTTTTTTGACAGCAAAGACATAGTAAGTTGTGCCTTGCGGGGGTCTCACCATGATAGGAGGTACCTTACGAGGTGTATCATTATTCTTGTCAGCAGAGTTTGCCGGAACGTTCATATTAAGCACATTATCAGAATCAACATAATTGCTAGGAATAGAACTCTCATTAGGAGAAACATGATTACGAGAATTATTGCTAACACTATTGTCAGGGTTATTATCAACATTTACATTATTATCTAATGAATTATTATCATTTTCAGTAATATTATCAGCTAATTTAGCAAATCTATTTTTTAGTGTAATATCACTTTTGGGAGGAGTACATTTAGCAGCTTTACTAGTTTTGGTTGGCTTTTTAAAAACAACATCTTCGATACTGGATTCCCATAATTTTTCCGCTCATTAAGCTTAGGCTTAACATTGGCATTTAATTGTATAATATCAGTTCTAGGGGAAAGAAGTAATGCACACTTACCAGTTAATGAAGTAATACAGTCCTTGTAAAAATCAAGATCACGTGCGAAACGTTGCTGAAGGCGCAGGCCCTCTGTAAATGGCTCGTCCGGTAACATAGAGGCAATATCTGACAAAAAATTCTGTCTACTGTCAACTAATAACTGCAGATCACTTATACAATTTCCGATTTTCTTAATCACATGGTTGATGCGCTAGGGTTCAAGATGCTGGATTAAGGATACATCGAACTGGGTTAATTTCTTGATTGTGTCCATATCGGAGAAGTTTAATTTATGTAATTGTTCAATAAAAACCAGTTTTACATGAGTTTCTGATATGTCATCTAAAGAGGTTATCACATCTAGAGAAGGTCCCTGCTAGACGGAATTTTTCTGAGAAACAAGATTCTGGTAGAACTGATTTAGACGGGAGAGTTCCTAGAAAAAAGAGCCCCGCTGGGGACGAAGTTCCACCTAGCTACGGAAACGATGTACCGGCTACGCGGGATTTCTTGACACCTGAACGAAAATGTTTCGGCTGCAGCTCTGTCCCGCGTAGAGATCAACCAATAAGACGAAAGTTCTGCTTCTGAAGGATCACGTGATCCCAATCTGAGCGATAATCGCTTACTGTTTGGCGTTCAAGTCTTTGTAGAAGTGAAAATGGTAACTTGCTACCTGGGTTTTTCTGAGAATTTTCCCCTTCTACGTCAAGTCCCTCGACTTAAGTTGATGTGCAGAAAGTGTTCATTTCTTATGAACAAGTTTGAATTATTAATCGAAAACTATTAATAAAGTAAAAAATGGGTCACAGGAGTGCGACTTCAATTAATACTGGTAAATTATGTGTAATATTTGTAAAAGTTAGTCTGAAGAGTAAATGAGAAGGGATTTTAGATAAGGTTTTCTGTGAGATAAAAAAAAAATGAATAAAGCAATCGTAAATGATCATCGTAATGGGTGGACTGTGGTCAATGACTTAAGTGTCATTCCAAGCAAGCTCTCCCTACTTCAAAATAGATTGCTGTATTTTTGATGCTATATAGTTGGAGCCAACATAACGATTTCCTCTGGCTGCGCGAAATTGTCGCGGCAATGCGTCATAGTACTGAATTGCTGGAAATTGCTGGAATTGCTTCTTGTCCTCAAGCATGGGTTTCGAGGGAGCTACCGGTTCAAGATAGTGAGTGGAGGGCGTAGAACATATACCTGCTTACTTTTGTTAGATACCAGATGTCCCCGTCCTCCGTCATGTCCTCAGGCATCCAAAAATAACAAATAGAAGTAATATTCTCGTGTTTCATTGTTTGACCACTTCTTAACCCCCAAAATTCATCTCTGATAGAGAGAGATCAACGTCTAGTTAGCAACGTTTTCGTATCGCAGTTACGATCTGCGATATTAACGTTCTTGAAATTTCTCTTTCATTTCTTAATTGACGCAAATAGGTATGAAAAAGTGGACAAATAATTAAATGATGCTCTTTATGAATCATTATGAAATAATCATATTTCTCAACACTAAATTCGCTATTTACATAACAGATCACGTCAGGTCCAAACGGTGTTCTTTAAAAACTTTTATTAAACAAAATCTCAGTTAAGTGTTTCGTTTCCACAGGTATTGCACAGTGTTGACATTATTATTTTTAGGAAAACCAGTGCAGGAGATATATACATCTCTGCCTAAGGATATGTGGGTATTTGGTTAATCTACGTATAAGAAGAGAATAGATAAATGCTTTTTTTTAACTGTCTAACTCCTTATGCCTACAATCGGCCTATATTTAAGATATGAGGAAAATTATCAGAATATAAATTAAATACATAATTCTTCCATGTAACGTAATATTTTTAAATTATATTACATGAAAGTGTGCATTTGATTTTAGCAGATCATTTAAGATGCTTTTATCAGAATAAGACACAAAACTCGCATGTCAAATCTAGAAGTCTCGAGTTTTTATAAATAAAAAGACATAAAATTTGAAATTTTTCACGTTCCAAAAAAAAAAAACAATTTTCGCTCTCGTGCCCTAATATCAGAGAAAGGGAGATTTTCTGCGGTCTGTCTTGAATGGTTGGACTCATTAGACCCAATGCTTATTTTGAGAAGTTGTGATGGCAAAACACTTTCTTCCCATTTTTTTATTTTATGGTATGCAAATGTAAGACTTAATATTAATTTATATGTGGTACTTTTTACTACTTATATGCTGGAGTATGTTTCAGTGCAAAAATTTGTTTTACCTTTATCAATGAATGCATATATTAATTCACGACCCATCAACGAACCGAGAGCTCCAAAGTTCAAGTAGCTGAAATAAATGTGTAAATCAGGACAAATCAGGACGAATATTATGAAATGAAATTATTCTAATCCGAACATGCGAATTATAAATTGAATTAAAGAAATAAATGAAAAGTAACTCACTTTGGTTTATCATTGTTGAAAACTGGATCTTGAAACATTCCTAGAGGTAAAGCTGCAACAAAGAACGTTTCCGATTAATAATGATTTTAAGGAATTGCAATAGAAAAAAAATGGCAAATTAGCGAATTTTTACAGGCTTATGTTTTAGCTTCAACTTCAACATGTATCAACTTCAACAAGTATATGAAAGTCTCAAAGTTGTACCTTCAGTATTTCGAATCTTAGAGGACAGGCTGCTTGCAGAGATATGTGCGGCATTCCTCATTACGACTTGAATAAGCAAAAGCAGTTTTGAAGAGTTTTTGTCAATGCAGTCGACATTTGTACGATATTACTGCAGGCATTTATATGATTTTAACCAACATAACTGCGGTACATACACTGAAAAATTGAAAATGCATAAGTACATTAAAACGAGACTTTGTGGACAAAAGTCTGTTGTTTTCGCCTTGCCTTTGTTCGCTATATTCAAAACCAATGTCTTAATCAGTTCTCAGGTTCTTGAAACGACTCTTTCGGCTACTTTTGGATCTATACAGACCTGAGCCAGTGTCTTCCCTGCTTCAATTCTACGCCTCTCCAATCGCACCCCATTTATTTCAATTCATCAGATGCCTTCTTAATGATATGTTTTACCTTCTACATGAGAAAACTTTATTTAGTCGTACAACACTTGAAATTAGAATTTGAAATATCCCGTTGCACTCTTTTTCACACTCGCCGAAGGAATAGGCTGTAAAGAACGCTCCTGAACTCTACTAGAAAGACCTATGATGCTCTTGACTAGAGAGAACGTCGTTAGCAAACTCCTCACACTACGAGTACTGTAATTCCTTTTAACACCTTATTTAAAGAACTGTGAATGGCAACGACTTAACTGAAAATTACGCATGCGTAAAGAGATGAGACTGCTGTTGAGACGCCTGTCAGAGAGAGAGTGCTGGGAAGCTCCGCCAGCGAGCTGAGGTGAGGAGACTTTGTTTGTCGAGTGATGACGAGTACCATCTTCGTTACCGTCTCTGATCGTGTCACCAGCTCGATATCTACTAAAGTTTCTAAATGTATTAATGTTGTATCTGTGATATGTTGTGTTATTAAAAAGTGATGCACACCAATACCAGTTTGATTCCGTTTTCACTGAAGCATCCACGACGTCACAAGGCGCAAAGTTTGCATATTTGTGTGCAGCGAAGATGAGTTCAATCCAACTCTGTCATGATGTTGACCTTACGCTACGAACTACTTATCTTTCAGTTTAACTTTCCCGCCATGCATTTTATGCTACTGTCAAAAGAGGTTGCCTTTTTGGTTGAGGTTATCAATGTTTTCCTGTATTTTTCTAGATTAGAATAGATAAAAGCGCTCTCCTATTTTTATGATTCGTAAAACTTTTCATTAGATTGTTGGATTCTTTCACCTTCTTTAAGTATTTTTGTTCTACATATTTAACAACGATCAATAAAAAAAAAAATGTTGTGGGAGAGGATGCACTCTCCGATTTCGCGGTTCGTAATTCGTTTTAGAATATGGGAGAACATGATACTTCTATATTCGCCTAAGGAGAAGTAACATAAATGTGATGCGCGATCCTCGATTTAGAGAAATGTATTTCTCATTTAGGACGATTTTTGCACCCAGAAATGTATTTTCTCAACACTGAATATAAAAAGCTACAGAAAAAACACGCCTTTTATGTCTGGTTTCTAGTTCTTCGTGTTTTCGATTGATTCTAAGGGATATTTCAAGGATTTTTGCATTACAGAAGAATAAAAGTAGCATTTTATATACCAAATTTTATTTCCTTTCCCTTAAATTGGAACTGACTTCCTTTTCAAATCCTTATTCTTTGTATAAAAAACTTCTTTGAAAACAGACTCTGAAGAACGTAGGTTGCGATGGACAGTAAAATTGAAATTCAAAACTTTCTTTTAATTTGAGTTTCGTTTGTATCATAATAACAGGAAAGGTAAATCTTCTGAAATTATTTTAGTTCATTCCTAGGCTTCCCTGGTCGAGAGAACAAATCTGGAGGCGGAATTTGTAAAGAACCTCCTGAACTCTACTAGAAAGACCTATGATGCTCTTGACTAGAGAGAACGTCGTTAGCAAACTCCTCACACTACGAGTACTATAATTCATTTTAACACCTTATTTAAAGAACTGTGAATGGCAACGACTTAACTGAGAATACGCATGCGTAAAGAGATGAGACTTCTGTGAGAGACGCCTGTCAGAGAGAGAGTTTGGGAAGCTCCGCCAGCGAGCTGAGGTGTGGAGACTTTGTTTGTCGAGTGATGACGAGTACCATCTTCGTTAACGTCTCTGATCGTGTCACCAGCTCGGATATCTACTAAAGTTTTCTAAATGTATTAATGTTGTATCTGTGATATGTTGTGTTATTAAAAAGTGATGCATCACCACTATCAGTGTTGATTCCGTTCCCACTGAAGCATCCACGACGTCACAGACGGAAAAAGAAATAAAAATTGGAGGTTCCAACCGAGATTTGTGTGACAAGAGACCAGGTATGTGTTCTCCACAATATTCATTTCCAGGCCTGAAGTGTATAATGTAGTTATTTATTATTACTTATTCGGGAAATCAATTCCCAAAGCAGAAGTAGCACATCAGTGCATAAGAGTTTTAAACACTCAATGTGTTTGGTTTATAGTATATCTAACAAGATATTTTCCTTTTGTGGTATATTCGGGAAAACATTTTCCCATTAACACGTGGCACATCAGTGCATTTTATAGCACGTCAGTGCATAAGAGTTTTTTTTTAAAACAATCAAAGTGTTGCATTTATATATCTAACGAGATATTTTCCTTTGTATGATAATGGCGAAAATCCATTCCCATAAATAAACAGCACATCAGTGTATTTATGTTTAACGTTTCGCTATAAATTGGTGTGATAGAATCTGAACTGTTTATTTTGTGTATATGTGAAAGCACATCAGTGCAATATTGCAATTTTCATTTCTAAGTCATTAGAAGAAAATTTATGTTAAATTCTTGTGAAAGAAATAAGTTGTTGAAGATATTAAAAACTTGTTACTTTGGTTTTCTCATGAAAGCACACCAGTGCTGTATTTTAATATGATGTGTATTTTTCTGATAAGTAGAATGTTAAATTTTATCATTTCATTTTAAAATTTTAAAGCTTTGAGCAGTAAAGAAAAGTTTCTAATAGTGTTCTGATTTAAACCTGCGCCTATCGAATTTACGTAGTACGTTGGCCATGTGGTTGCCAACGGAAGTAGCTGTCATGAAAACGATAGTTAATTAAAGGTGTTTATATTTATTGGCGCCACTCTGGTTTTTTTTCTGTCTGGCTGTACTAAATGAAAAGAATTTGTTATTATTTTTTTATACGAAGTATTCAGTAAGGTTGTTTATTCGTTTTATGTTTGAATGGAAATAAATCCAAAATGATTAATGCTTTTATTAACCTTTTATTTTTTTGCCTAATTTTGTAAGAAGAAGAAAAAGTGTGTTTTTTATATCTCTGATATATTTTTATGTGTATTACTTTGTGAATAACTATTTGAGTTCTTATTTGTTTTGAACAATTACTTTTGTGAAAATGGCATTTTTGGGGAAAGCTAAGAAAAGGGATCTATTCCTTGTCGCTTCAGAACTTGGGGAAATAGCTTTAGAAGATATGAAAGTGATAGATTTAAAACAATTAATAACGAATAGTAAAAATTATGAGGAAGAATTTGTTAAAAATTTGTTAGAAAGTATTATGACTGATAGGATAGAAAAGGAAAACTTAGAGAAGCAAACAAGAGCGAAAGAATTACAGTTAGAACAGGAAGCTAGGGAGAGGGAATTTCAGATACTACAACAAAATAAAGAAATTGAAAAGCAACAGTTAGAACTAGAATGCCTTAAAGCAAAACAGAACACTGAATCTGCTAAACCTGGAGGTGAAACGGTATTTAATCAGAATTTTCAGAAACTAATGCCCAAGTTTAATTTAAAAACTTTTTAGAGAAGCTAAAGTTCCCCACGGATCAATGGGTGTCATATATTGCTTCCGGTTGAGGTAAATAATACTAGGGAAAGAATAGAGATTACTAAAAGATTAAGATTAAGTGCGGAGAAGTTTCGGCAACTTCTTGTTAAGACTCAGAAAAATCCGGATTCTACGTGGTACGATTTTTATCACGAAATTAAGACATTTTTAGATGGGTGGCTTAAGGGATTAAAAATCGAAACATTTGAGCAACTCAAGGATTTAATGTTGGTAGATCAGATTAAAAGGCGCACGCCTAATGAGTTTAAGGAACATTTTATAGATGAATGGGCCACGATCACTTCACCAAAACAGTTGGTGGGTAAAATAGAGGAATTTGAAGATGCGAAAAAGACGATGGTTGGGAAAACGAAATTGGGTGAAATGAAAACGAAAATATCAGGTAGACAAATGGGTGTTTTTCAGTCCACTGGTAACGTTTTCAAAAATAGAAAAAACCCTCAAGGCACACAATTTAAAAAAGATGATGATGCACGCAATGTTGGGAAAAAGTCGGACTCGAATTTTGATAGGAGAAAAAGACTCCAGTGCTATGAATGTGGATCTTTTGACCATTTACGTCCTCAGTGCCCTAATTTAAAAACTCAAAAGGCAGATTTGTATCGGATAAGCGGGAGATCAGAGAAGAATCTGTTAGATCCCTATACATTAAATGGAAGAGTAAATGGTTTTGAAGTACCTATTCTAAGAGATACAGGAGCAACGGTAGATATTATTTGTCAGAAATATGTAGACAGAGATAGAATGAAGGGGGAACATGTGTGGGTTCGACATTTGTTGGATGATCATATGACTTGTTTACCTGTTGCTGAAGTAGATATTGAATGCGATTTGGGTACAGTAACCACCAAAGCAGCTGTTATAGGAGACCACTTAGACCAAGGACGATATATATTAGGCAACCAGACAGCGGCTCTTCTCAGAGGAACTGAGAAAAATTATTCGTCGTATGTCGGTAATGTTAATGCGGTCGTTACTCGATCTCAAGCACGACAATTTAAGGAAGCGGAAAATTTATGTGAGACGAATCAAAATTCTGAGCAGAATGAGTTAGAATTGGAAGAGGAGGACGATGCTCATGAGAGGTCTGAAAACA